CTTTCGATTGATAAAAATCTAATGACATCGTGAATTATAGATTACCCATATATGGTTAACGTGGACAGAGGATTTATGGAGATTTGTTCTGTTGTAATGCAGAAGTAATTCAGGACTGGTATCATATGACGAACAACTAAAATTCATAGTGCTTTGAACAGCGGTGTGAACGTACAACAGTACATATGTTCCGACTCAACGTAACCAGAACCCCATGCTATCACGATAATATTAAGCCATTACGGTACAGTTCAGTGGTTCACATTTTTAACTTTATGATATTCTGTGATGATTGTCAAATTTTGTCAGGGATGGATTTTGTACTTCCTGCATGCTTGAACTCTACCATTTAAGTCTTTTCACAAGAACTTCAGGAGTCTAGCTCAAAGCTAGTCATTTGAAAGCCTATGATTATTATAAAGATATAGGACTACTTGAAATTACTGAACTGACCTGTCTTCTTGTTCTCACATAATGCGACATTGAAAATTTGGTGATATTTATGAAGTCAACTGATTATAGTTGGATGAAACACTCGATTTACGCTTTAAGTGATAATAACTAGCCAATCCCTTACATAAAAGCGGTTTTTTGTTTAGCAATTATTGGAATTAAATAGATGATATCCAGGAGTTTGCTCAAGTTAATTTTCATATTGCTTCTGAGTTTACTTTCAAAATCGTCCTCAAAAGAATTCATAAGGTTATTACAAATTCTACTAAATGCATTTGTAAGCTCTGTATGTCAAGTGGACAGTTTGAAATATCATATCTGACGGAGGTGGTTAGTTTTACTTAGAATAATTTCACTTTTATGATAACTAGCTACTTCAAAAGAAAACAATAAGGTTTCCCAGTAGATCACATTTGATAACGTTTTGCTCGCCATTAAAGGAATTGCATACATTTATAAATTTATGATTAAAGATTTTAGACTAATTTACTGATCTCCTTTCTCGTTTTTCTTTCAAACTGAATTTCCGTTTTTCCTTTGATTATAAATAACTAAACTTGATAACATTTTATCCCAGTGATTATTAGTTTTAGAGTTTAAGAATAATAAGTTTCCAATATTATACATAATCACTTTTATTAGTAACAATCACAATGATATACTTTAATACCGAATAGTTTTCTGACTCTTGAAATCTAAATAGTTTCAGATTTTATCAGAGTAATGTACCTTAATTTATTGTTAATTTAACTAACTAGGAAAGGTCTATATGATCGTCAGTAACTAAATTTATGTTCTTATCCTTACTTTTTTAAAGAATTTATTACTGCTAGTATAAACAATATATCCACATGATAGTACTACAAAAGTTTATTTTTGCTCATCAGAAGACTTGATTATAAAAAGAGTCATAGCGATTTTAGTTTCGAAGCGCGAACTTTATTGATAATCATTAGTGTCAACCTTTTGTTCGATATAATTATATGAGTTAAATACATATACTTTAAGAATGCAAAGTAATTGATTTCTTTGTGCTTCTATTATTGTCTTTGAAATAGATTTTTAAATAGTTTATCCGTGAATACCATAAATGTTTCGTTCTCTGTGTACAGATTGGTAACCATTATAAAATGGCTATATAGATTTTAAGTTTGTGAAATTCATTGGATCATTGATAATAAAGCCAAATAACAAAAAGTGACTTTAAAAATGCTAGTTTTCCTAAACTTTCAAGAAATTCTAATCAACATTATGCATTTAAAAAAAAAGATTTTCTAGTACTGACGGAACTTTCTTATTTGAAGCTCTTTTATAGTGTCCTAATAATAGGGACTGATAGATTCCCCTCGTTATAAAGTAGTTTGATGTGGTCAACAAATCTGTCTGAGTTTATTCTCTACAATGCAATAAACAAAGTTAGAAACCGTTTTGTTTTTTTGCCCATCTACTTATTCATTACATTATTATGAGTACATCAATTTACTATGTATTTAATAGAAGAGTAGTTTAATCCCGCGTAATAATAATAATAATGACAAAACTGGTAGCACCATATTGACTGGACATTAGGGTTGAAATGGTTTGACAGATTTGTCTATATTAACATAAGATTAATGTTATTTTGAAGCGTTCTGTTTACAATTAGACTGAATTGTTTAATATAAAACTTTAAATTGGTTAATTTGAAAATAACTATAAGTAGTAACTTACCGATAATCTTCTTTCTCTTTCATATTTCCATAAAAATAATTAGAATAATAATGATGATATCTATCATATTCATTTCTTAACATATGATTAGCTCTTTCATGAATATAATTACTAGCATCAGTTGTTTCAGCTAGCATATTTTTAGCATGTTTCGAATAAAAATAAGGATTAATTCTAGGTGGTGGAGTTGGTTCATATTTTACCGGTGGTGGATAAACAAGATATATACTACGAGTACGTAATGTTGGTTGAATAGGTGTTGTAATTCTATGCTGATTACTAATTGAATTTGAAGTAGTTGACTTTTCTTTTATTATTACATTTCCATTCATTGCTTACTAATATGTAAAATAGTTATATTAACATTATTATATTTTGATTTGAGTGAATAAATTTTATAAAGTACATTTGTACGTATTCTTCTTTATATATTATTTCTTAAACCCTATTACTTAAGGAAGATGGTTACCAACCAATCAATTGACTTTTAAAGATTTTGGTTTTTCTTTGAAAAATAAACGTTTTATGAACAAATAAATTAAGGTCACCGATTAAATTTACTTGTTTTTGTATTAATACTTAAAAGAATATCAGATTGCAACTAACAAATTGGTTGATATTTTAGCAAACGAGTCAATCCGTTTGTTAATATTAATTAAAATGATAAATATCATTATTATAGTGCAGTGTTTTAAGTAGTTTAAAAAAAATCAGCGGGTATTTGTTATAGTACCTATAGTCTAATGTTTTTTTCTGACTTTGTTGTTAAACGGTAGGAGTTATTTGTTTAAGGTAGAAGACAGTAAAAAATAATAATTTTTAGTTGAGAAACTTAAGTTTGAAAGTAGATGCTCACTGCTGAGGAGTCCCATACTAGGACGAAACGGTCGTCCAGTGCTTCCAGGTTTTTCATGGTGGTCTAGCTTCAATTGACTTATATATGAATGTGTTCTTTGATCAACAAACTTTAAAACATAACGGAAACTGAACAATAAAAATCTCTGTTTAGTAATACCAAATGTGATAATGTTAAAAAAATGAAGTTATTAATAATATTTTGCTTGTAAGACTCGTAATACATAAATTTTTGAATTTATATTTTCATATTACTACCAAGACTTAATAGTCTCAAATCTAATGAACTAAAATTAGGAATTTTGGTCATACAGCTTACTAGTAATGAAACACGTTGATTTATACAGTCCTTTTTGATAATTTGAGAGACGGAGAAGAACAGTTCATAATTTTATTTGTAGTAAGTTGACTATGACTTGAATAGCTTAGTGATAATGTTTTAGATTGGGGAACTATCTACCAGAGAATGTCATTTCTCTGCAGATTATAGAAAGGGGTTTGATGGCGTGTGCTAACTGATATGATGGAATCAGGAAGCAAAATTACATTCTTTTAGTCATTGTGATTTTTGATCATTATTACTTCCACTTTTTTAATTCAATGTGATAATTACTCAGTGTAGTATTTATTTTGTTTTCCAGTAGTAAGTTTTTTACTCGGTAAAGCATTAATTTATTTGAGTGCAATATTTGTTAAAGATACGATATTCTTTATTAATTAAACATGAACTATGTTCGGCATGACACGCGGTGTGATTTGTTATAACTCTAAGTATTTTTCGCATATGTGATTTCGTCCTATTTAATTATCAAAATAGGTGTGTAATCAATATGTAAATGAGTGTATTTTCGACTAGGGTCGTCTTCTGGGTTTAGTACATCTTCACTTGTATCAGTCTTGGTGTTCTTACTTCGCGTCGCGGGAATTGCAGTGGTTCCTCGTTTCAGAAGTATAAGTAGTAAGGGTTCCGACATAACGATTAGCGATGACCGGTCATAACACCAACAAGCACGAAATCTGGTTTCGAAGTTTTATGGCGACTAGCTTTAACTGCATGACATTGAAAGTTGTATTTAAAAAGTCACCTGTTCGTCTGTTATTTACAATTATATTAAATTATTTTCTGGAATGAGTACTTGGCAGTTTACCAAATATAAATATAATATTGAATTTTATTTCTTTTTTACATAAAATTATGTATTCAATTATTTTCGTGGTCGATTCAGAAATCTTCAAGATTTTGACATTTTACAATATTAGGCTTGAACTTAACACACACATAACACCCTAAATAATTTAGATTTTATCAGTGTAGGGTTATGGAGATTGCTGAGTTTTGATGAGAATCATGAATCGATGGATATTGGAACGCCATTGAAAACCTGTAATCATTGAACGACTATATTGTCACAATGTGGGACTCCTCAGTGATGCGCATAAACGATCCCCCACTCGGTATTTGACTCCAGGACCTTCGGTCTCGCTGGCGGAAGCTCAACCTCTAAACTGCTGAGCCGGTGCAAGACCGGAGGTTCCGAGTTCGAAGCCCGAGTGCAGATCATGTATGCGGACCCCTGAAAAATTCAATACTAAAACGAAACGACTGTCCAGTACTTTCACGTATCAATGGTAGTCTAACATTTAGCGATTCACGATCTTAATCAAAATTTAGATTTCCTTCACCAATCATGAGTATTATGAAAGAGTACAAGTGTTCGTATTTAGATTCTTTGAAATAACTTCAAAATAATCTACACACTAATATTTTATGTTTATTTATGACCTTTCATTTACGATTAATTAATGATATAGTTTATATATTTATTGACAATACCCAGTTGGGACATAGTGATGCACTTTATTATACTCAAGTATGCTGATGGCATTTTTAAGTCATCAACACACTGACCAAAAAATAGTACGTATTTGTTTGTTTTCGTATTTTGAACTGGTACGCAATGAGCAAATAAAAAAGCATATGTGAAAGAACAATAGTGAATTCAACTTCAATTTATTTACCAATAAAAACCAACAGCCATAACATTAACAAACAGTAAAATATTAAATTTGTTTATTTTCAATAAGAACGATTTCATTTCCTTCAATCTCTTCTTTTTGTGATTCATCTTCGAAATTTCTATCATTAAAATATCGAAAAATCCAATGGTCTTCTGAATATTTAATACATTCCTGTAGTTGATGAATTCTGTTGAGTAAATGAGTTAGTACAGTGGTAAAAACCAATTATTAGTTGAGATTACCTTTCATTCAAAGAATTTTCACGTTCAACTTTTATCAAATCTTCAATCTTTTGTTTATTTGAAATTAGTGAGTATAAATCTTTTTGTGCCCTGCACAATAATAAATGGGGAAACCGTAAAAATGATGAGTTTTTTACTACATTAAACTAGACCATACATTTTAAAATTGCTTAAATACTTGTATTAATAATGTCTACCGCTTACCCAAATTAGCAATAGGTTAGTTATAAGAGGAATATGGGGAGCAAAATGATAAATTTGTTATCAATTTTCGAAAAAATCAGAGTGGTCATATATAGAAATAACAGACCAGTCTTTTCAGTGTAATGACAGTGTAAATATAATATACTGTACGCTATTTATGATAAAGATTAAAGCAGAGTTATCTACATACAGTTCAGACAATAATCTGAGCTAACATTTATCTTATTGATGGCTATGTACAGAATAGTTTTATTTAGTGTTTGAATCGCACAGAATCGATAAAAGGTTATGTCTTAAGTTCTAAGCAAAACAACTCAAAATATCTAATCCCTCTTATTTGTATTCTTTCCGAATCCTAATGTAATGATATGTAATTTATTGGTTTGTCTGAAGTAATCCTTCAATTAAATCATGTTTCTACCAATGGATTAAATAACAGGAATTCTTGTGTTTTTCAAACTACCTAAACAAATCTAGAATTACATTTATATGGTTCTTTGATTAATGTTTTATAACCCTTAATGAAGTATGCACTCAATGGTTGTAAAACGAATATGAAATCATTTATGAAGACGTTTAAGAGTCGATAAAGTACCCAAACATAAACTAGTTTGCTAGCGAATGAATATATTTATGTAGAGCAATTGGCTTGCTTTAAAGTAATAACAACCGATTTTATATCTTGAAAATCTCAAAAGTTGGGCCCAACTGATTCTTGATTTCGGTGATTTATTTACTAACTGATTAACAACATGCATAAAATTTTCACAGCAATTTTTAGCGTTGCTCGCGTTAGAATATATTATTTAGTGTAACCATATTAACTCAATATCATATACCTGGGATAAGTAACGGAGTTAAAACAAATAATTTTGTTCCTGTTTTAATGAAATTTTGGTAATGTTGTTATTGATTTACATAATTTCATTAAAGCTAAGCAGTATAAGTAATCAAAAAGAGTCAACAAAAGCAAAAAGTGGCATAGTTTAATTAGCATGCAAAATATTCGTTATAAAAATTACACTTCGTACCTTGGTATGTTGAAAATACTATGAGACTAAAATCACTTGATACTCACTATGTTGTTAGTTAATCGGAGTCCAATATTTACGATATACTATCATTAAATAACTTTTCTTCGTATAATATCAATTTATAAATCCTACATGAATATTCATTGACCCATTGTTCAAATTATATATATATATATACATATATACGTACTTTTGTTCTCTTTGTCGTCTGATAGCTTGTTTTTTTATTAACAATTTTTTCTTAACTACAAGAAAATAAATTATTATTTATAAAATAATTAAATTATTTTTAACTAACTTTGTATGTCTTGAATTTCTTTATTAACTTTTCTCAATTCTTCTGTTGCTAAGTAACCAAAAGTTTATTAATGTTTATTTTTCTTATATTACCTGATTCAATTTGACTTTTTAATAAGTTACATTCAGTTTTCGTTGATGATAATATATTTTTTAATTTTTCTTTTTCTAAAATATATAACAAAATGTTTTGTAACGGTTCACTATTAATCTATTCTATTATTACCTTCTAATGTTTCATTAAGATTTTTTTGAAACTTCTGGGTATTTCTGTTATCATTCTCCGTTGAATTCATTGTGAATCTGTTTTTTTTTTCTTGACAAGAAAATTTCTTGGTGATTTTATTTTTTGTATTGCTGTTAATAATCTATTCTAAACAAAACTACATAAAAAAAGTTACATTTCATCTTAAACTTATTTAACATTTAATACATTTTAAAAAATACTATCTTATAGAGCTATGGATATTGCTTCATAAAAGTTAAATACTGCGGATTTAATGCATTTTAAACTTGCTATTTCCTTCCAGATAAGACTCAAGAGTGCTGTACCTAAATATTCGACTGGTGAACTAGTTTTTAAAAATGTCTAAATTTATATAAGTTTGTTATTATATTTAACATTGTTAGATTTGTGGCATTGTTATTTTGGCAATATAATGCCGTATACAGTTGTAAATCGAAATTGTATTCTGTAATAAAACTGTTTGGGGATGTTATGGTTATATCTCTGTACAAAATTCATATTTCTTTATCGTAATAATGTATCCTTCAACTGAAATCAGGTTACTCCAAGTTGGCTGTTTTCCCTCGTAATATTTACTATAACTAATCTATTTAGTTTTACATGTCGGTATATAGGTATAAATTTGAGAAGTATCAGTGATTTTTCTAGTAGTACCTCAGGAAAAAATCATCACAAGTCTCTTAAGTTTAATGAATATATAAATTAATGAATTTGGATTCAAATGACTGATATTACCGATTGTTAACAGTTACTTAAAATATCCATCTATCTAATAAAATATTTCAAATATGAATATAGCTTCGGCTAATTAAAGAAGCATGGAGGCTGACCCCTGATAGATGGTGCTGAAAGATTTCAGTCTATCAACTTGACTCTCTGTGCTACAGAGAAGTTCTACAACAGCGCTGCTAAAAGCCTTTCTCGGATTTGCCGTAGCTATAGTCGTCTAACGGAAGCAGTTGCAAGTCTTTCCTCACAACAGTCTCTTCATCGTCAAGTTTTTTACATCAAGTTTGCAATTTAGATCTCCCCCATAATAATTTCATTGTTTTTTTCGTATTTATAACACCATTTTTTAACTGACTGATGTCAACTTATGTTATTCTTAATTGTTAATTTGTTTCCGACTGCTTCATTATATAATCAACTATTTATTTTCTTCGGGATCTCTTTTTGTTGTCTGACGGTCCGGAATCTTTTCTCACATATATTTATTTACAGCGCTCTTTTCATTTCTACACTATCATTTCTCCAAAATGATGATACCTACCCATTTTTGCTGTTATAAGTGTGTAAACTTTACAATAATTTTGATTTTTAGTAATTAAAGATTGAAAACAATTAATGAGAACCTTACGGAACAAAATGAGTTCATTTTATTCTTGCTCTATTTAACACTGTACTGAACTGGTTAGGGACTAACCAACAGGAAATTATAATATTTATCGTTTGAAACGTCATGACTAAATATGACTGTAGTAAAATATCTTCCCTTTATTTTATTATGTATCTATTCATGTACATCACAAAGCAAAAAGTCGAAAATTATTTCAAAAACTCAACGATAAGGTATAAATCTTTTTTTCATCTCATTATCTTGGTAAAAATAAAACTTAGATAATCAACAATCCGTTTTTATGTTACTTTCTATGCCTTTTTTTAATGTTAATACAATTTCGCTGATTAAGTCTTTGTTTTTAATAATAAAAACTCATAATTTTGGGTATTTCTATTTGTCACATGCACTTACGCAAGCACAAAAGCATTCTCCGAACAACTGTACAATAAATAAAAGGTAGTGTCGTATCACAAATGCGTTTCTACCGAATCCCAAAACTATACATTGAAAGTCTCGTTACTATGACAGAATAAAAAAGACAAATTTCTGCGTCTTGAGTAATCAAATTTTCTTAGAAATTAAGTAGCTGAGTATGAAAAACAAACAAGTTAGACAGAAAAAGTATAACTCTGCATATCACTTAACTTTTTATACGTTTTGAATGAGCTTATATGATTTTAGGACTGTTCATAAACAATCAGTAGAAAAAGAGCAGGAATTCGAACTGTTCGAAACTCAAACTTTTGTGTCTAGTTTGTGTAATAACGAGTTTAGCTTTTGACATTTTAAAAACTAAGTCCTCTTTGTTTTCGTGAGCAAAAGTAACTGACGAGTATAGTAACGGACTGTACACGTATGATAAATGAGATGTGATGGAAATCAACATAACGTATCTCCTTTTTTAAAGGGACTCATGCATATAAGACAAAGGAATGATGAACGACAACAAATCATATTAAATTAATGTTCCGAGTCCTGAATTATCTGTTAACTATTACGTAGAAATACTACTAGGAAGTCGTTTGAACAACCATAGCCGACAGCGAATTCAAGGATGTGCGGTCGAAACAAAGAGTGAATAATGAGACTAAAGAATGTGGTTGAAGCAGCTTAAAATAGCTATGCCTTTGTGTGTCGATTACACATTCAAATTGTCAACTCAATCTTCGTCAAAAATGATTACAAGTATTTAAATTGTGTTTTCAAGCTCACTGAACTACTTACAACTTGACTAGTGTTGTGAAGGGCTAACTTAACATAACTTTGATCAAATTGATCAAAATTTCACCTTATTACTACTTCACCAGTATGAAAGTACTTATAAAAATATGTAAAGCTTTGTATTTTTATCTTCGGAACTCAGATCACGATAAAGTATGCAAATGTTTTCGATTATAGAAACACAATCTGATGAATCACCTGTTTTTTTGTTAAGAGATTAGTTACAATGTGATGCACTGGACGAGTATTGTCAAAACGAAAACAGCTAACAGTTGTTACTTTAGCGCCATAACAACTTGTTAAACAAAAACACATTCTTTATATGGTACCTGACTTTAATCAACTTTCAAATAATGTGTCTCAATCACATATTAATTCTAATAGTAAAAATGACTGATAACGCATTCGAGGGTTCTAGGTCCTTTCAATCACCTAGGTGGGACATTTCTCTCAGTTAAATATGCTGTCTTTGTAACGACAGATATAAGTATTACGTGTCATAAATTAAAAATAGGATTCTTACCGAAAAAAAGGAAAGTGGGCAGAAGCGAAAGAAATACAGATATCAGTCAGAATAACAATAGGAATTGAAGAACAACTTAGTATGTAAGAGATAATTCAAATAACATATGAATATAATGTATCTGACTTGTTGTTTTTATATTTTGCACATTCAGTTTGTGCAAAATTCAATTAACTGGTTGACCATACAGGAGTCTTTGTTTATAATACGGTGCTCATAATGCACACTATGGTATATACACACTAATCTACCTACTTCTACAATGGAATATATTTTCACTCCTATCAAGTAAATTTTTCTTCACTTGCCTTTTGGATATATTTTGAAGGATTATTATCAGCATCATTTGACCTAGAGTCAGCCGAACGTGTTTTAAAGTAAAATTATGGTTATCGGAATTCAATATCGTAACTACCTGGTCAGTTGTTTATCTGCTTTTATGGTACTTTATTTTCACTGCTACTTATACAGCCAAATTAAAAACCTTAGGTTCGCAAATACTCTTCGTTCTGCTGTACAGTATGTACATTTAAAATCTTACATAGGTTCATATTTTAGAGAAAACGTTTCAAATACCCATATAGTAAACTCCTTCGGTTCTATGCCTGCATTAAACAATGTATTTGTTTCCTCCATTTCAGTTCTTGTTCACACCAAGATGAATTCAAATTTGTCCGTCTGTCCACTTGGCTTCTCACCCTTCTTCAGAATCCATTCTATTTGCAACTTTCTAAAACCGTCTCATTAAGTTGCAGTTCGCGTCTGAGGTCCTAGATTTATTTAATCGTAACACAGTTGCTAAACATTCGATTGCCCGTATTATTTCTCTCAATAATGAGAATCCGTTCTGGTTTGCTACGCATCATGGCTCACTGTGTTTATTCCTTATATTTGTTCATCTAGAGACTATTTAGCTACAGTTTAGATAACAGAAGATATTGTGGGTGTTATCTAATAGTTCGCCACATATTTGTCTTTTCAGAGCAGTAAGGCATCATTGTACTTTTATGTCGGAATTCCCTGGTGCCCCTATGGCCCCCATATTTTTCATCATCAAGTTTGCATTATACGGCCATGGAGCTTTCGCTCATACTTGAAAAGCCAAGCTGAAGTTGGTCATGTCCACAGTCAAGCGCTTTTCAGCGTGTAAATTGTATCAATTGTAAATTTATTAGGCAGGTGCATTGCATGAATAATTAGCGGCACCAGAATCTTAGTAACCGAATACTACTTTTGACCAGACGTACATTGTCGAGTGCATTAACCTATAAAACTTAGCAATGCTAATAAAGCCCATCTGATAGGAATATCTGAAACCTGGATATCTTCTCAGTTCTCGGACCATGAGTTAGCATTACCTGGGATGTCCTTGTTCCGCAATGACAGAAAATCAGGATATGTGGGCGGAGTAGCTGTTTACATACGTTCTTGCTTGGAGGTGCTCCAGGTTCATAACCTCGAGTTTAACAATCTCGAGGAATCTATATGGTGCTCTGCAAGATTGTCTAGTACTTCGAGGTGTCTAGTCGGAGTCATTTACAGGAAGCCAGCTGTCGAAATCGAGTATGATGGTCGTATGCTGGAAGGACTATCCCGCTCTACTCGTCTCGGTTTCACACACATCCTGATTCTAGGGGACTTTAATCTCCTTAGAGTCAACTTCGCGGAACACACGTACGCTGGAGGCGACAACTCAATTGAAGCCCGGTTTTTCAACCCCATCGATGACTTGGGATTGTACGGAAATGTGAGGTCGGCAACTCGTTGGAGAAACAGTCAGACACCATCGCACTTAGACTGTGTATTCACAAACAAAGAATTTCTAGTTGACAGCCTCTCAATCCTGGCTCCTCTGGGAAAAAGCGATCATGCCATCATAGCCTCCAGTTTTGTCAGTAAAACTAAGCTAAGATACCCCACCAATAACTTGCGTTGAAATTTTAGACGGTTGAATGTGCCAGCTCTACACGACTATCTACAAGAAGTAGATTAGGATGTTCACCCCCAACTCGATGTGGGCGGTCATTGAGACTTCTTAGTGCACACGCTCTTACGTGCTACAAACCATTCAGTTCCTCAAACGGTTCCCAGAAGCTGCAAGCCACCCACAATAATCAAGAACCGTACCCTTCGTCTACTAAGCTGCAAAAGACACTGTTGGGCGGAATACAAACGAATTGACAACGACGGAGCGTACAGGCAATATAAACATATCAGGAACATATGCACGAAGGCTATAAGAGAAGATAGGCTTCAGTACCAGGCAAAGCTTATGGACAAATTTGCCTCTAATCCTAAAAGCTTATTCCGTTATGCAGCTTCTCTTCGTCAAGCCAAAACTAGAGCTTCCTGGAAAGTTTTAGGATCCCTTACGAAATCATAAACCAGATGAGTGTCTTTTGTAGTGATAGAAAGACTGAGACACTTCGACGTATTTCCGTTATCTTACCTCAGGTTATGAGTTGACCTAATATTGGCTTGCCGTATGATGAACGATGATCTCGGTATTGCTTTGTCTTATCTTTTTCTCACATCTGGAACTGATCAAAAACCGATATCATATCGTTTATGTCTGGAGTTCTTTTTTCTCATTGTGTAGTGAATTTCTGGAATTCTTTACTGCGGGGTCCCCCAAGGCCCAGCACTTAGGCCTCTTCTCTTCTTGATCTACATAAATGATCGTCCTCAACAGGTAACATCAGACTTATTACTTTATGCCGACGACGTGAAACTTTGGAGAGAGATACTCAACCAAGACGATATACAGGCACCTCAGGAGGATCTGACTCGACTTCAAAGTTGGGCAGACGATAACGGACTTACCTTTAACACTTCAAAGTGTAAAGTAGTCCATCTGCGACATGCCGCAGACTACATTTATAACTTAGGTAACTCCTCTCTAGTAGTATCCCAAGTCGAAAAAGATTTAGGAGTCCTGGTGCCCTACGATTTAAGGAAGCAACTCTCCTTTAAAATAAACAAAGAGTAAAACAAATTCATTTTGTTTTGTTTCTTTAAATCTTCTCACCAATGTTTAGGACTATTATTGATCACTATTTTATTGGCATATATACATCTTGTGCGAATCGCCTCGACCACAAGTATTATAGGCACAGATGAACAGTGGATAGCAATGGAATCCAGGACGTGCGTTTCGTTCCATCTTAGACTCGTCAGGTGGATGTAATTGCATCACTCACAAATTCGAACCCAGTACCGCCATCTTCAGACGCCATCACGTCATCCACTTACCTACTGAGTCCCGATAGCCACTAGAGTGAAGTATGACTGGATTTTGGTAGTCATGATTCTAAACCAGTACTTGAGGGTCTTACGCTAACTGTGACAAAAATGCCTTCCGAGCAAACCTCGCACTGGTAACATTGAAGCGCATTTTTGGCCAGTTTGACGTAAGAACTTTCCATATAATCTTCAATAGTTTTATCCGTCCTCATTTAGAGTACGGAAACATAGTATTGCCCCCCTCACTCCAAAAGGATAGGGACGCTCTGTAGCGTATCCAATGGCGAGCCACGAAATCAGTTCGAGGACTCAAAATTTAACCTTATGAAGAGCGCCTCCATTCACTTAACCTTTACCCATTAGAGTGTAGACGTCTTAGGGGTGACCTTCTGATGGCTTATAGTATCCTTAACACTTCTAGACATCCTCTCAAATACCTACTTAAGCTTAGTTCCAACACTAACCTAACGGGTAACACCCAAAAACTGGAGACACAACATAGCAGAACGGACTGTAGACGCAACTTCTACTCCTTAAGAGTTGTCAAGTGCTAGAATGCGCTGCTGGCCGAGCTAGTCCAAGTGACTTCCCAGGAGTCCTTTAAGAGGCAACTTGATCTATTCTTAAGGATTAAGGATAGTATCACACTATGATTTACTAATTTCTTTTCCCCTTTTATTGTTAACATACCTGGGTTCCTACCTGGAGGATTTGGTGATCCCCTGATACTAGACACGGAAGCCTGCTTTTGCTTCCGTCTAAAACCGATCATTTGAGAGGACATTCGAAGAAAGTTCAAAAACCGAGATCAAACTGTTTACGTCTGGAGTTCCGTTTCTCGCACCGAGTAGTGAATTACTGAAATTCTCTACCGAAACACGTTATATCAGCACCGTCTGTTAATATATTCAAAACGCGGTCGGACCTTCACAGTATTACAAACTGCAAGGATTAATATCGGTCGATAGACCTCCTATCCTAATTACTGAAGACTGAAGATAGACTGAAGACTGCTAAGCGAAAGCTTCTTCTATTCCGTGCACACCCATTTGAACCATTTTGAACTCGTTGTTGAATTCACATGAATATCCGTTTATTTTCATTAATGATATCAATTTAACAGATCAAGTTAACAGATGAAGTACCTACCAAGCAACCTTACTTACCCGTATTTTGGTCTACAGTGTCATCGTAAACCCTATGTATCCACTTACAGGTCTGTTCATTCAATACTATTATTATTTCAATTCAAACTTATTTTAATTCAATATATTTATTACCACTGTACACGTCAAACAACTATACGGTTTAAATATACTTTAAAAGCATCGGCATTTGAGTCCTTATTTAATTAGCTCAATGTGGATTATAAAGTTAAAGAAAACAGATTTGACTCGAGGCCGCACTTGGTTCGTTGTGTTTGTGACCTTAATTTACATGTATACTTTCTTGTAATTTTGGTTTTATATCACTATTGGGACTTTAATGTGCTTTCAAGATCTTCGGTATCCTTTGAAAACA